ACAAGTGACTCTGCAATGTACAGGCCAACCCCCCCCCCTTTTGCCTGTTCACTCTGTCACATCTGTATAGGTTGTAACCTGGGATCCATATTTCGTTGTCCAAGTGATCCTTTATGTGGGTCTCAGTGAAAGCCGCGAACATTGCCTTTGCCTCTGCAAGCAGTCCACGGATGAAAGGTATTTTGTTGTTTGTTGCTGGCTTTAGACCCTATATATTTGCAAAGAAGAATGTCATCGGACTTGTGGTATTGTTGGTACTGGGGGGGGGGATTTTTTCCGGCATTAGTATCTGTATCTGTTGGTTTGGAGTGGAGGCCATCGACTGTGGTTCCACTCCAGGAATGACTGGATTTGGTGTACGATTTCTGCCATTTCCTGCCAGTTTTTTTTCCTTCCTGGCACTGAAAAACCTCTCCCTCTTGAGTGGCTGTGGCTACCCAGGTTTTCCCCATGGCCTGGATTTTTTTGTATCTTTTTGTCCCCTTTAGATGGTGTGCCTGGCAATTTAAGTTATAGCACAGTCTTTCCTGTACTGAAGAGGTACACATTTCAGGGTGAAAAGGCTTACAGGAAGGGAGTTTGCATTTTCCTGTTGTCATATGGGCATGGCATTTTCTAGGGTGGTCATAGTTGCACGTCCCGTCTGTTTTTCCAGATTTCCCATGTCTGCAGATACCAAGTGCATAGTATGTGCACAGGCTTGGTTTCCGTTTGCCTTGGGTTTCTGTGACTGTATTCCCTGTTGGTGCATGTTTCCCTTTCTTATTCCTGTTCATCAAGAACTGCAAGAAGTCCCTATCGCGTGCCTTCAGCATTTTATGGAGAGGGAGCATGGACACAGGGGTCATCCCACACACACTAAAAACAGCAGACATCGCCCCACTCCACAAAGGTGGCAGTAAAGCAATTGCAAAGAACTACAGACCGAAAGCACTAACATCCTATATCATAAAAATCTTTGAGAGGGTTCTAAGAAGCAAGATAACCAACCACCTAGATACCCAACAGTTACACAACCCAGGGTAACACGGGTTTAGAGCAGGTCGCTCCTGCCTGTCCCAGCTTCTGGACCACTATGACAAGGTCCTGGATGTGGTAGAGGATAAACAAAATACAGATGTAGTATACACAGACTTTGCAAAAGCTTTCGACAAGTGTGACCATGGTGTAATAGCACACAAAATGCGGGATAAAGGAATAACGGGAAAAGTTGGTAGATGGATTTATAGCTTCCTGACAAATAGAACACAACGAGTAATAATAAACAGAGTAAAGTCACAGGCAGCCATAGTAAAAAGCTCTGTTCCACAAAGCACAGTACTCGCTCCCATTCTATTCCTCATCCTCATTTCTGACATAGAGATGTAAGCCATAGCTCCGTGTCTTCCTTTGTGGATGACACCCGGATCACCATAGCAGTGACCTCCATCGAAGACACAGCGAGACTCCAAGCGGACATCAACCAAATCTTCGAATGTGCCACTCAAAACAATATGAAGTTCAACGAAGAGAAATTTCAACTACTCAGATATGGAAAACTTGAAGAAATTAAAAATGTGTCAGGGTATACCACAAATTCTAACCATACAATAGAGCGGAAAAGTAATGTGAAGGACCTGAGAGTGATAATGTCAGAGGATCTCGCCTTCAAAGATTATAACAATGTATCTACCTCATCCACTAGGAAAATGATAGGATGGATAATGAGAACCTTCAAAACTAGGGACCCCAAGCCCATGATTCTCTTCAAATCGCTTGTGCTCTCTAGGCTGGAATACTGCTGTACACTAACGGTCCCCTTCAAGGCTGGCGACATTGCAGACCTGGAGAGTGTACAGAGAACTTTCATGACACACACATAAATGCGATAAGGCACCTAAACTACTGGGAACGGTTGAAGGTCCTTGATCTGTATTCCCTCAAACGCAGGCGAGAGAGATACATGATAATATACACTTGGAAGGTCCTGGAGGGATTGGTACCAAACCTTCACATGAAAATCACTCCATATGAAAGCAAAAGATTCGGCAGGAGATGCAACATTCCCGCAATAAAAAGAAGGGGCGCCACGAGTACACTGAGAGACAACACAATAAGTGTCCGGGCCCAAGACTGTTCAATTGCCTCCCAGCATACATAAGGGGGATTACCAACAGACCCCTGGCTGTCTTCAAGAAGGCACTGGACAGGCACCTAAAGTCAGTAACTGACCTACCAGGCTGTGGTTCGTACGTCAGCTTGCGTGCGACCAGCAGTAACAGCCTGGTTGATCAGATCCTGATCCACCATGAGGCCTGCTCTCAGACCGGGCCGCGGGGGCGTTGACCCCCGAAACCATCTCCAGGTAAACTCCAGGTATGTATATGGACTTTTCATGGATAGATGTGTGGTTGACAGGCAACAGAGTTTACATAACCGAGCAGAAATCAGAGGACGCGTCACAAGTTGTTAATTCTGACGAGAACGCTAGAGCGCTGCAGGAAGATCCGAATAAACTGATGAAGTGGTCGGGGAAGTGACAGATGCAGTTTAATACAAACAAAAGCAAAGTTCTAGGCGTTGAAAAGAAAAATAACCATGGTACATATAAACTAACTAATATAGATCTTATCATTCTGATTGTGAAAAAGATTTGGGAATTCCGGTAATCTAAAACCAAGACAAGAGCGCGTAAATGTTCTCAATAATGTAAATAGAATTATTAGCTTCATATCAAGAAGTATAAATAACAGGATGTACATGTACATGTTGCAAATATGTCAAATTCTTCATGTATAACATGATTTAAACGGGAATGAACATTTCACACTATTTTGCACATAAAATCGGCAGAGGTGCAATTACAAACAAGAATTTCACTCTCCGCCGTCGTCACATTAGTAGCTAATTTCTTGGAACGTTGAAATTCAAAACAGCAAAAGAGTTTTAAAAGTTGTTGGTTATTAATTAAGCCGTATCATGATTCACTTAGCCTTATTCCCTAACTTTCCTGCCTTTTTACTTTAATTTCTCCCTCCCTCCCGTAGCTCGGTTGGTAGCGCACTCAGCTCACATTGAGTGTTCGTGGTTCGATCCCCTAGCAGTAAGTACGTACCTGGGTGTTAGTCGACTGGTGTGGGTCGCATCCTGGGGACAAAATTAAGTTGCCCGAAATGCACCGTATAACCAGGGGATTTCTATATAGTATGTCATTGTTATCAGCTAGGTCTGTATAAGTTGTAACATGTATCTGTAGAAATAAGGATTATTATTATAAATAATTATTATTATTATTAAGTCCTGCCTTCCTGCCTGCATTCCTCCCTCCCTCCCTCGATCTATCAATCCTTCCTATATTAGAGGAATAACTAGCGGCCAGTGACTTATTACGCTGGCAGGTGTCCTAGTGTATCAGGGAATGAAGGAAAGAAAGTCAGAGGAAGGAAGTAGGTGAGAAACTCAGAAAAGTTAATTTAAAATATTTATTTTCAAAATATTATTATGTACATATATAATTTTTGAAAAGCCTTCAGAATGCACATTATTATTATTATTATAATCAAAAAGAAGCGCTAAGCCACAAGGACTATACAGCGCTGCTTCAGAATGCACAACATTTTGAGAAAGGAAGAGGGGGAGAGGGAGGGGAGGAGAGGGAGGGGGGAGAGGGAGGGGGGAGAGGGAGGGGGGAGAGGGAGGGGTGGTTTTATTGTTATATTCCATCATACAATGTGAATTTAATAGTGTGGAAATCTGTCAGCCTGAGCTGGGAGACACCAGTAGAGCGGTGGGGATGTCGTCAAAAATTTTATTAAAGATTCAGTAGCTACGGCAGCTTTACAGGTTTTGCTTCAGAAGAGCTGGTAATAGCAACGAGAGAATTAGGTTCCGGTGCGTAGTTAACAGCTAAATATTGTATTTTTCCCCAGACTACGCACACAAGAGGTTGTGGCAATTTTTGTGGTCCTTCAGCACGCTAAAATATTTGTTTAGCTGTTGTACGACACAAGACGCTAGTACCCTCGCTTGTTTGTAAGCTAGAAAACGGACTATGTACTCACCTAATTCACCTAATTGCACTCACCTAATTGTAGTTACAGGGGTCGATACTCAGCTCCTGGCCCCGCCTCTTCACTAATCGCTACTAGGTCCTCTCTCTCCCTGCTCCATGAGCGTTATCATACCTCGTTTTAAATCTATATATAGTTCCTGCCTCCACTCAACTGAAGTTTGAACCCATGGCGAGTGAGTCCTAAAACTCCACGCCATGGGTTCGAGTACCACCCAATCCATGATTTATCTGTAATCGTGTTATTACGATTTCGTGAGTCAAGTTATCGTTCAAAGTAGGAAGCGACTGACGCAGCATATTAATGATGTACTGATCCTCACTCCTTACAGTGATTGAAAAAACTTTGCTGTAGACGAAGAAAAACTGCAAATTGAGATTCTGTAATCTAGTTACGATTGTCATTACTAATGATTTGCGGCACACATAAAAATAATTGTTTACGTTGTTTAACTGAGCATGTCAACAAGGTTGTTCAGTATTCCATAAAACGTGACACGTAAGTGCTCTTGGTTGTTTATAAGATTGAAAAAACTGCATGTGATGCGGGTGCAACCGTAACATCCTCACACAGCCTGTTTCAGACGAACTGCATAATAGCAGCCCAGAGATCACAGAGGGACACATGGCCTAAAATGTTTACCTGAGGCCCGGGGGGAGACCAGACTCTAGAAGGTCTCACAGACACTCGTTGTTAGAGATATGATGGTGTATTGCTTACCAGTTCCGTGACCTCAAGAATGAGCATAGGTAATCCAGCTTAGCTAAGGGTGATGCTGTATCACTGTGGTCACTAATCCAGTTACGGGCCAGACTCAACAGTTTTGTACAAACTGAGCGATTCTCAAATCAAAGTGCGTTGAAGGGCGGGCAGGTTTAGGATGTAAAGGTTGATTTATTCATTGACGGGACATCTCAACGGTGTACGAGGGCGTGGTCATTGTTTTTACTAGTCTAGTAACAGGTGTGAATTTGGGTATATAAGGTGGAGCAAATGTGGACACCAGTACACAACTCTGCTCTCCGACATCGAGACAAGTTGACTCGTAGCGAGCAGCCATGAAGTTCTTGGTGAGTATTTTAGCTGCGAGTCACACACGCACGCACACATATTCTAGGAGAAACTTATGACAACGTTTCGATCCAGGTTCAGGTAGGTTTGCCATGACGGGTTCTGGCCCGTTCCGACTTGGACCATTAACTAATTAATGACCCAAGTGGGATCGAAACGTCGTCATAAGTGTTCCCTCCTATGAGAGAACTTTAACTAGAGCAGCCACAGTTATGTTGCTGTGTGATTCGTATGTAAAACCATACTTTTGTGGTCACAGTGGGATCCATTCTAACATTGCTATACTGAACAAAAATCCACCTAGTTGGGTTAATCTTGTGAGACTGATATAGTACAGTGATTAGTACACTAGTCTTCGAGTCTTAGGACTCGCTTACCATGGATTCGAGACCCACCCGTTCTGTGACTTCACTTGTTTTTCAAGTTTCACCCGAGAGACACCACATCTATTGGAATTAAAATATAGAGCCTTCTAAATTAAGAAACACTCGATGCACAACATATGCCTTTACTTCCTAAAACGTAGATAAATGGTTCAGAGAACCGACAAGTTGATAATCAGATACATGTGCAGCATTTGGGTATCTTTACTGAGGAAACGTATCGAAACAGTGGCTTCATCAGTCCAATACAAAGAAGAGTGGTGACGATCAGAACAAGGTTGAAGTAATCAGTCCCTCAGTCTCGGCTCGATGTAATCGGTCCATCAATCTTGAAAATATTGATGGAATGAAAACATCGACTCCAGGTTAAGGGACTGTTTATCTCAAGTTGCTTCTGATCTTTACTACTATCCTTTGTATTGGACTGATGAAGCCACTGTGTGGCGAAACGTTTCCTCAGGAAAGATACCCAAGTGCTGCACACATGTGGTTAAATTATCAGATTCCTGAAATATTTTTCCAGAATAATTTAGTGTACATTTTACGTATGAAAATATTTGTTATACCAACAGGTTGTGGTTGCAGCAGCAGTGGCTGCTGTGAGTGCCCTCCCCACCAACCCAGGTTTTGTGCTCCCTGCTGGTAACATCGGCCTCTCGGGCATTACCCGCACTGATGGCACAATTGAAGGCTTCACGGGTGACTTCACCCGTGACATTGTGGCCATCGGACACTCTGGGATTGTGACTAGGTCTGGCAACAACGTTCAGCTAGACAGGAACCTTCACAGGGTTAGGCGAGCATACTATGGTTTTACTCGCCCTGAAGGAAGTGTTGGTTTATCTGGTATTGTCCGCACTGATGGTACCATTGATGCTTTCCCAGGTGACTTCACCCATGACATTGTTGCCATTGGAGACTCTGGAATCGTGACCAAGTCTGGCAAAAACGTTCAGCTAGACAGGAACCTTCACAGGGTTAGGCGAGCATACTATGGCTTTACTCGCCCTGAGGGAAGTGTTGGTTTATCTGGTATTGTCCGCACTGATGGTACCATTGATGCTTTCCCAGGTGACTTCACCCATGACATTGTTGCCATTGGAGACTCTGGAATCGTGACCAAGTCTGGCAAAAACGTTCAGCTAGACAGGAACCTTCACAGGGTTAGGCGAGCATACTATGGCTTTACTCGCCCTGAGGGAAGTGTTGGTTTATCTGGTATTGTCCGCACTGATGGTACCATTGATGCTTTCCCAGGTGACTTCACCCATGACATTGTTGCCATTGGAGACTCTGGAATCGTGACCAAGTCTGGCAAAAACGTTCAGCTAGACAGGAACCTTCACAGGGTTAGGCGAGCATACTATGGCTTTACTCGCCCTGAGGGAAGTGTTGGTTTATCTGGTATTGTCCGCACTGATGGTACCATTGATGCTTTCCCAGGTGACTTCACCCATGACATTGTTGCCATTGGAGACTCCGGGATCGTGACTAAGTCTGGTAAGAATGTTCAACTGACCACAGGCTTGCACCGCGTCTAGCAATACATCGATAGCGACTCCAGCATGCTCACTTCCTGGGGCCAAGGTGTCCTATTCAAGAGGTCCTTCACCTCCATCCTCTTAGAATGACCCAATGGCATAATTCTCTCCGACGACTGTTTTTCAATAGCCTCTGTAGTAGACTCGACTATGCAGGTTTATGGCATATAAACAGTTCTAACTGTTTGAAATATAATTTGTCTGTATAAAATATATTATAGCTATGCTCACAATTTTAAACGAAACTATAATAATGCAGCAAAAGTTAAGATACTTAGCACCATCGTTCTTAAACATATTTTTCTTATGTCTTCTGTACAATGTAAATTACTCGATAAGTACTTTGTTTTGCAAAACATTTAAAGAGAAGTAAAAAAAGTATATATAAACTTGTATTTTTCTCCAAATTTAAAAAATTGATATATATATATATATATATATATATATATATATATATATATATTATATATAATAATATAAATATATATATATATATATATATATATATATATTACATAATTATTTATTTAATTATTAACACACTGGCCGATTCCCACCAAGGCAGGGTGGCCCGAAAAAGAAAAACTTTCATCATCGTTCACTCCATCACTGTCTTGCCAGAGGGGTGCTTTACACTACAGTTATAAAACTGCAACATTAACACCCCTCCTTCAGAGTGCAGACACTGTACTTTCCATCTCCAGGACTCAAGTCCGGCCTGCCGGTTTCCCTGAATCCCTTCATAAATGTTACTGTGCTCACTCTCCAACAGCACGTCAAGTATTAAAAACCATTTGTCTCCATTCACTCCTATCAAATACGCTCATGCACGCTTGCTGGAAGTCCAAGCCCCTCGCACACAAAACCTCCTTTATCCCCTCCCTCCAACCCTTTCTAGGCCGACCCCTATCCCGCCTTCCCTCCACTACAGATTTATACACTCTCGAAGTCATTCAGTTTTGTTCCAACCTCTCTACATGTCCGAACCACATCAACAACCCCTCCTCAGCCCTCTGGATAATAGGTTTGGTAATCCCACACTTTCTCCTAATTTCCAAACTACGAATTCTCTGCATTATATTCACACCACACATTGCCCTCAGACATAACATCTCTACTGCCTCCAGCCTTCTCCTCGTTGCAACATTCACCACCCATGCTTCACACCCATACAAGAGTGTTGGTACAACTATACTCTCATACATTCCTCTCTTTGCTCCACGGACAAAGTTTTTTGTCTCCACAGACTCCTAAGCGCACCACTCACCCTTTTCCCCTCATGAATTCTGTGATTCACCTCATCCTTCATAGACCCATCTGCTGACACGTCCACTCCTAAATATCTTAATATATTCACCTCCTCCATACTCTCTCCCTCCAATCTGATATCCAATCTTTCGTTACGTATTCTTTTTGTAATCCTCATAACCTTACTCTTCCCTATATTCGCTTTTAATTTTCTTCTTTTGCACTCCCTACCAAATTCATCCACTAACCTCTGCAACTTCTCTTTAGAATCTCCCAAAAGCATAGTGTCATCAGCAAAGAGCAACTGTGACAACTTCCACTTTGTGTTAGACTCTTCATCTTTTAACTTCACACCTCTTGCCAACACCCGAGCATTCACTTCTCTTACAACCCCATCTATAAATATATTGAACAGCCACGGTGACATCACACATCCTTGTCTAAGGCCTACTTTTACCGGGAAATCATCTCCCTCTCTCCTCTCTCCTGAGCCCCACTATCCTCGTAAAAAGTCTTCACTGCTTTCAGTAGCCTACCTCCTATACCATACACCTGCAACATCTGCCACCTTTCCCCCCTATCCACCCTGCCATATGCCTTTTCCAAATCCATAAGTGCCACAAAAACCTCTTTACCCTTATCTAAATACTGTTCACCTATATGTTTCACTGTAAACACTTGGTCTACATACCCCTACCTTTCCTAAAGCCTTCTTGTTCATCTGCTATCCTAATCTCTGCCTTACTCTTAATTCTTTCAGTAATAACTCTACCATACACTTTGCAAGGTATACTCAAGAGATTTATTCCCATATAATTTTTGCACTCTCTTTTATCCCCTTTGCCTTCATACAAAGGAACTATGCATGCTCTCTGCCAATGCCTAGGTACCATACTCTCTTCCATACATTTAATAAATAATAGCACCAACCACTCCAAAACTATATCCCTACCTGCTTTCAACATTTCTACCTATATCCCATCAATCCCAGCTGCCTTACCCCCTTTCATTCTTCCTACTGCCTCATGAGCTTCCCCCACACTCACAACTGGCTCTTCCTCACTCCTACAAGATGTTATTCCTCCTTGCCCTATGCACGAAATCACAGCTTCCCTATCTTCTTCAACATTTAACAATTCCTCAAAATATTCCCTCCATCTTCCCAATACCTCTAACTCTCCAATTAATACCTCTCCTCTCCTATTTTTAATTGTCAAATTCATGTGTTCCCTAGGCTTCCTCAACTTATTAATCTCACTCCAAAACTTTTTCTTATTTTCAACAAAATTTGTTGATAACATCTCACCCACTCTCTCATTTGCTCTCTTTTTACATTGCTTCACCACTCTCTTAACTTCTCTTTTTCTCTCCATATACTCTTCCCTCTTTGCATCACTTCTACTTTGTAAAAACCTCTCATATGTTAACTTTTTCTCCCTTACTACTCTCTTTACATCATCTTTCCACCAATCACTTTTCTTCCCTCCCGCACCAACTTTCCTGTAACCACAAACTACTGCTTAACACTCTAACGCTACATTCTTAAACCTACCCCATACATCTTCGACCCCATTACCTGTACTCTCACTAGCCCGTCTATCCTCCACTAGTTGTTTATATCTTACCGTAACTGCCTCCTCTTTTAGTTTATACACCTTCACCTCTCTCTTACTTGCTGCTTCTATTTTCTTTGTGTCCCATCTACCTTTTACTCTCACTGTAGCTACAACTAGAAAGTGATCTGATATATCTGTGGCCCCTCTAAAAACATGTACATCCTGAAGTGTACTAAACAGTCATTTACCTACCAATACATAGTCCAACAAACTACTGTCATTTCGCCCTACATCATATCTTATATACTTATTTATTCTCTTTTTCTTGAAATACGTATTACATATAACTAAACCCCTTTCTATACAAAGTTCAATCAAGGCCATTATCATTTACACCTGGCACCCCAAACTTACCTACCACACCCTCTCTAAATGTTTCTCCTACTTTAGCATTTAGGTCCCCTACCACAAGGAAACGTTTCGCCACTGTGTGGCGAAACGTTTCCTCAATAAAGATACCCAAGAGTTGCACATGTGTCTAATTTAACAACGTGTCGGTTCTTTGAACCATTCATCTACAAACCTGTCAGACACTGCAACTTCTTGGGATCTTAATACTTGGGAATTCTTCGCTTGCCTAACCCTTGGGCACGACCTATTTCCACATTGAACAAATGTGACACCACCTACGACTGCTGCACCTCTCCTGCCATACGGTTTATAAGCTGCTTCTCCGCTCATATGCCGTATTCTATTCAAGATTGATGGACTGACCACATCGACTCAAGGTTGAGGGACTGATTGCCTCATTCTCCTCCTGTTCTTCAAGTTTATCCTTTGTATGGACTGATGAAGCCACTGTGTGGCGAAACGCTTCCTCAATAAAGATACCCAAGAGTTGCACATTTGTCTAATTTAACGTTTCGGTTCTTTGAACCATTCATCTACAGATCTAATTATGTTATGTATAAATCTCAGTATGCTGGGTGGAATAGGATCGGGAAACAAAGTTACTTTTGTTTATTTGAGGTTAATCTCAGATTATGGTAGCCGCAGAGTGCGATTGTATCTAGTCTTATGAAAAGCGATTAAGAGAAAACAAATATAGACTAGTCAAAAAATAACCTCCTTTAAAAAACCCGCCTCGAGAATGCCCATCTTGTTTGTGTATCTTTAAGGTAACCAGATTAGTAGAGATCATTAATTTGCAAGTTTTAATATACTGGATTCTTGACGGGCTCATGGGAAGAAGGCAACATATACTTGTAGCGTGTCCTCGACGTCTAGGTCATCTGATGTCCGCTCTTATTATAGTGGTCGACCTTATGACCACTCTAGACCTCGGGCAAGTGATGACAAAGTCACCTAGTATGGCAACCCATCTTCTGCACACTTTGGTATTTTACTGTGACTCAAGACCGTCGCTGAAGTGAATGCCGTACTAAAATGTGAACGTCGGGACTTCGCCGTCACTCTTCTTCAGTTTTGTCAGGTGGCTCTCCATTTTTTTGCGTATCGAAACAGCCTCGCCTATATGTATGGGTTTTTAAACACAAATCAATTTTACAGGCTAAGAACTGTTATCCTTCCTCAGATCAAAGCCTTGCGCTATCTAAGATATACTACCACCCCCAGGATGCCACCCACAACAGTCGACTAACACCCAAGTACCAACTTACTGCTAGGTGAACAGCGCCAGCAGGTGTAAGGAAGCATTCACAGTGTTTCCAAATTCCACCCGTAATGAGGATCAAACCCTGGACACTCAGAGTCTAAGCTGAGTACCCTAAAAACCGGGCCACGGGCATCTTTCTTTTCATTAATTGATGTTATTGCATGTTATAATTACTCGAATTTATTTAGTTAACGCAACATAATCTGATCCATTTTTAGCGGAAAGATTGTATGAATTTTGTTCTATATAGGAGCCAATTTGCCAATTTTATTGTACAAATTGTGAGTTACTTCTAAGTGATGACTTGACGATGCTATTTACAACAACTTCAAACATTCGCTGCTGGGGAGTCATACTCAAAGAAAATTTGAAATTTTATTGGCCTTCGTAGGTGACAATTTTCTGATTATATTAAAAACTGGGGTTATATTATCCCTTCATGACCATCGAAAAATTGTTATATTAAGCTGAAAAAATAAAGTAAACATCTCGGCTTAATTATACACTGAGATATATTTTTTTACACATTTCCCTTAAGGAGATATTTATTGCTATTATATTTCTGAAAAATAAACTTTCATAAGATTTTTAACCATAATGTTTTGCACAGCATGTTTTATGTAGGAAAAGAAGTGCCAGGAGTGACACCAATAATAATAATAATTATAATACTAATAATAATAATAATAATAATCAGAAGATAGACTTAAGGTCTTTACCTCTTATTAATGATATTTATCCCTTATTTAAATTCATTTTTGTCATATATTTTAAACTGCCAAAATAAAGATAATAGTTTAGGGAGAGGCAAGCATTTATATATATATATATATATATATATATATATATATATATATATATATATATATATATATATATATATATATATATATA